CTTAGGCTACAGTTCGATGTACCCCTGCCATGACTTGTGGGCCATGGACGACCCCTGCCCTCGTATGGTCTAGGCGATGTTGAGTCGCCGGTCCTAATTAATTGACTCAATCCCTCCATTGATAGGCGTTAACTAAAAAATTAACGTGGTTGGAGGACTTGGCGGTGGAACCACTGTGGGTGTCACCTCGTATTGCTCCATCGCGATACCAAATTTGGTCGGAGAGTGAGTCACCTCGTAACCAGCACTTAACTGCAATCAAGCAGGCAGATCAATACTAGCTACCAGTACATACGTGATACGTTACGCAGAAGTCCTGGAAATGCCATCATCTGCTGAGCAAATTTTCAGCATCTATGAGCTTGCCGAGCATATAATCCTGCAGCTGAATAATCCTGTGGAAATCATTCGCGCGCAGCGCGTATGCCGTAACTGGAGAGATGTTATCCAAACATCTTCGGCCCTCCAGGAGGCCTGCTGGTATCGATTCCCGAATACTAGGGATGCTCAAACGCGGTCGATCTCCAGTGAACAAACATGGAAGCTGAACCCTGCTTTCAACCGAATAGGCATCTCAATATCCAAAGATACAGCAAACCCTGGAGATCAAGAACAGGGGGGTTTCAGCTTAGAGGAAGACATCTATGACAAACCTGGGTCATGGACGACCATGCTAGCCACGCAGCCTCCCTGCCAGCGAGTGCTAGTTGAATGCTACGGAGACTATTGTGATGACGACAGAATGTAGAAATTCCTCTGGCCTTTGCTGCAATCTCTTAGACTGATTTATTGCTTAGATTCTATTTAATCGTATCCATGACAGGCTATCTCCTTATGGGCGACATCATGGCTGTTCTAGCAGAATGCCGGAATCGACAGGAATGCGGCCTAGATCGCTGGGGTGGAGTACGGCACTATACCGGCCAGTTTCTCCGATGGGATGAGAGTATATGGGAGGGCTATCACTGGCTAGCTCTTGACAGAATGCCAGATAATGTTTCAATTAAAGTTGCGATCGAGCTGCCTTGGGGACAAGGGGGGTGTCCTGGCTTTTCCCTTCGGCGCCTCTACGGCAGCGAACACTTTCTGCATGAAATGATCCTGCATAAGATGATAATCGAGCACGGGCAAGAATATCAGTGGAAGGATCATGGTCCATCGCTCGATCGATTCCGCCCTCTGAGCAAGACAAAGTACAAGGCAAATCTGCTGGTTGTAAAGGAGCATCAGGAGGGATATTTGTCGGTTTGCAGCAATGTCTTCCGCCTACTATCTGACGTGAAATAATTAATGACCTATTTACTTCACCATCCTATTACTCAAATCATTGAAGTTGGTATCGCCATATACACATTCCTGCCTTAATCTAATGCATATCCTACCCCAAGGTAGTCGATGACTGTCATTCTATAGCATTGTATCTAAATACGATCCGGCTTCGATATTGGCCCTTCTTGAATATACATGGTCTGGCCAGTAATATGGTAAATGGCACGGATATATTCCAGCGAAATTCAGCGAAATTCAGCATTTATATATATAGAGCATGACCTATACACCTAGATGGAGTGATCACATCCAACAGTGGCAAACACTACGCTTATGATCCAGAGATAATAGTTCCAATCCAACCGTATACTTCAAACTCATGATAAGCAAACGTAGTAGCTATTGCTCCAGCTCACAGTTCTTGTTTGTCACATCTGGATATCTGGATTTCCTCTGGCTGGAACTGGCATTGAATCACGTGAGCAACCGCCAGGAGGAAGCGTCAGCAGCGCTCTGCCTAGAATCGCCTAGATTATGGTTATTAACTTATCCCGTCTGCTATCAACGTCATTCCCTTTTTTCGTAGTCGTACCACTCTTCTTTCCTCGCTTGTAGATATTTCTATCGGAAACAGACTGTACCCAAAAATACGAATATTAAGATATAATTTTCGCCATGACAACGGCAGCAGTGTTCGGGTGTACAGGAGCAGTGGGCTCTCAAATTCTCGCTACACTTCTTGCCACAGACGCATTCTCACCCGTCAAAACAATCTCAAGGAGACTACCAAATGTCCAATCACCCAAGCTCGAAGCCATTAAAGAAGGTGACACTTCCAAGTGGGGCGGAATGATCTCCTCCTTCTCACCCAAGCCGTCAGTTGTCTTCAACGCAGTCGGCACCACCAGAGCGGCAGCGGGTGGACTCCAGAATCAGTGGAAGATTGACCACGACTTATGTATCGAGAACGCCCGAGCAGCAAAGGAGGCGGGAGTCAAGACGTACGTGTTCATTTCGGGTGCAGGCATTAGAGGCTTTCTTGCTCGTTACTTGCCCTATTCGAAGATGAAGATTGGCGTGGAAGATGCCATCAAGGAACTTGACTTTGAGCATGCTATTATCCTGAGGCCAGGTATGATTATCGGAAGGGAGAATCCCAAAGCTGCGCTCTTGGAGAATCTCGTGGGGAACATAAATAAGCTGGGACAGGGCGTCCAGGACAAGCTAGGTATGTCCAGCCTAATTGCTACTAACTGTTTTGATACACTGAACTGACTCGTGGTGTGCAGGTCAAGATCAAACCGTCATTGCCAGAGCAGCCGTAGCAGCTGCCCGTATGGCTGAAGAGGGAAAAGCACCGTCGAAATATTGGGTGGTGGAAATGGGCGATATTGTCAAACTAGGCAGAGATGAGTGGAAGGAGTAGCTCAACTTATGTATAAGTAGATATCTAAGTAGCCCTGTTATGGAACAATACATAGGGCCTGTCAACCGTTGTGACCACTACCGCCGCTATCGGTAAAAGAGCGGTAATTAGAACATCACGGCTGTCCAGGGGACAGTTGCTCTGGGATTAGGTGTAGTTCAAGGAAATATGCATGGAGTAAACCCCAATATTGTACACGGATAAAGGATATCCAGACCATATCTGCCGTCGTCTTATAGTTAGTTCGATGCTTGAAGTAGCAATTAAGCTCACATCCTTACAAAACAATTTCATAGGGAGAAGCACAGTTGAAATGCTAAGCAAGGATTTCGAGGATGGACCCTACGCAGATAGTCAGATCCCAGTAGCAACGACCTAGTAGATCTCTGCAGACCCAGCAACAGGATGAATTAGCAGCTGACTATTTCTCATTTATGGCCTGCATTGATCCATGAGATATCCCACTTTTCTCACCTGCGGCTGATGGTTACCGCCTGTCCATTCGAGTATATCGTTCCAAAACAGCTTTCATAGTAGATGCAGCAGTGGCCGAAGCGTAGTGCTGCCACTTCTTATTCTTATGACAGTCTGCATAATCACAGACGTATTGAACGATGAATATCAGACCTTGTATTTCAGCTCCTGATTTTATATGCTTCTGGCTCGCAGGTGGCCAAGCCGCAGGTATTGCAACGCCTATGAGCGCGGCTGAAGGGTGAAGATACATGAATCTCCACCACCTCTTCACCACCTGACAAAATGTCAGGGTTTGCATTAGTTTTAACTCAAAATACTGATAATTAATAGCATGTTAGGCCGCAAGCCACAGATTTTAACTCGCTGTTGTGAGACTTGTGAGCCACAAAGAGTTGTGGATGGATATTGGACAAGGCTCGACATTTGCATTGCATACAACCTCCACGGTGACGGTTCAACCACATAAGATGGTGGGAGGGCCACTATCTTGTGCCGCTGCACCTGGTTTGTCTTTCCAAGCGAGTTTGGCTGACGAGTTGTTTAGTATGCAGGAATTTAATCCATTCCATTTTACTACTCAGAATCAGGCACCAAGGAGAGCTGAGTACCTCATCCATATGCGCACAAATGTATGCCTAACGGACAAGGCTGAGCGGCCAACACTTTGTTAGTTTCTTTTTATTCTTGTATCCTTATTTATCGAACCAATACTATTGGTGGTCTAGCTAGCACCAGCATGTCACATCCCTGCATTAAAGCCAGTCTAATGGGAGAGCTGAGCTGCTCAACACTGTTAGTAAAATTCTTACATTGTTATTAGCGTAAATGCTGTATGTTTGTAGCCTAATTAGCGCTGGCATCTCAGCATACTGCATTAAAGCCAGCCTCCTACTGAACCGTCCATACGTATCCTAAAATTCGGACCTTGAACTCCTTGGTAGTTACCTTACTCAAACCCTTCTACGGATAAATTTCGCCAATCTGAGGATCGAGAACCAAGCGGTTATGAGACTGTTGATACCAGTTATCTCAGAACCACGATTCCTCACCAGGCACAACAAAGGCTCGCCCGCCTTCATCAGATCTGAAGCCACAAGTCATGGCGACATTGAATTGCATGGCTGCATCCTTGGAGAACCGCGGTGCCAATTTTTCTCACCTTCGCTTCGCTTGGCCAGGGGCATTGAGCTAATGAGCGGCTTTTGCAGAGCGCGGAAGCTGGCAATTTGGGGAAATTGACCTTTTGAAGGTATGCACTTTATAGCCTTATTGGAAATAGCTAATTGAGCCGATCAAATAGACCACAACTCTTCCGGAGATATGCTACTTGTATGGATGACACTTTCTAACTGGAATCTGAATAATATTGGGATTCTTGTCGCTCATAGAACAAACTTTGTCGTTCATCAGGTTTCTTGATGCGCGTTCATATCCACAGTCAGAACATGATCGTGCAAGGATTTTGCGGCACTTCGGCGTACCTCATTTCGTGATGAACGGTACATGCACTAAACTGAATGGGTATTTTGGATGCAGGGGAACCTATGACGAGGACAATAAGCTGCAAAACTATGGTGAATATCTCATTCTTCCCCCGTCTTTCCTTGAGAAGCCCCCTTTGAGAAAGCTAATCACAGCATTAGTTACATGGTTCCGTTGCTTGGTAAAGTTAATCGACGGTCAAAAAGCGACATATGGGCGAACTATTGGCTACAAATGGCATGAAATCGGTGTCTTCACCAGATGGGACAGCCCAAACTGTTGCAGGATATTGTGTGTTGATGCGCCAGAAGCGTTACGCCATGACCTGAAGACATCCCTTCAAAAGATGGCCCCGCTGGACTTGAAAGATCCGTTTTGCATGCATGTGCCGTTGATTGACGAGATAGTGAAGTTGTACGATCAGTCTGTATGGCGGATCCGGGATGCTGTTCGGGAAATTGAGAAGGTACATTTCATCATTCGGATGCCTCTGCTCGAGAGGCAATTATTGCGCTGACGAATCCTCCTTTATAATAGAGCAGAGTCGAAATAGGAGCGAATTTCGAGAACATGAACGAATTGTCTCGCCATGGAGTTCATGTCACAGAGGTCCTGGAGGCCATGGTTGGGACCTTTCTGAAGATACAGGAACAGCAGAGACGAGTTTACGTCTGTTTGCCAGCTGAAATCGACAAGACCTATCAAGAGCAGGCGCAGGAATATGTGAGCTTTCAGATGTTGATGATTCAAAATCTGCTATTGCGCTCAAAGTCGTTATATGAGCGACTGAAGACGGAGACCACCGTGGTAAGGCGCCTCATGGTCTCAAGTATCAAATGTGCATGGAATTTACCAGGGGTAGGCATTTAATAGAATCACTCAGCGTGACAGCTCGGTGATGAAGTCAATATCGATATTGACTATGGTATTCCTGCCAGCCACGTTCATCTCTGTACGTCAGCGTCTGCTTGTCTTCCTTCCAGCGACTATTTTTCTCATTCAATAGCTAGACCTTATTCAGCACCCCTTTCTTCAAAAACGATGATGGTCACTGGAAAGTGTCCGAGGACTTTTGGATATACTGGGCAGCGACCATTCCGATGACCTTCGTCATATTCGTTATTTGGGCATTATTCCCCTTTGCATTGAACGCGTGGAAGGCATTCAAGTGGAAGGCATTGAGAGGGAAGAGATATGAGATGCTGCAGCCCGTGTAGTGTTTAAGAAGGGCTTGTTTCATATTGGTTATGGCCCAGGTTGTTGTTTCTGGTGCAGATATTTGGATCGATCTCAACGATGGCCAGTGTGGCATGGGGTGTTGGTGACATGATGCATTGACTCATCATCAGATGCACAAACAGACAGCAAGACATTTGAAGAGCTGTCTTTTTCTTCTGCAGCTTGGTACATATTCATGCCAGCTATGGTGGCGTCATGGATGATGCGTAGGGATGCCTGGATCATAATTAGACGATGGACTAACCTCTTGTTGCTGGTATTCCCGAGTCCTTGTACGAATCAACAGGCTGCAGCCACCGTCGGCCCGCGACAGACTAGAAGAATACTGGCCTGGGTGAGTTGCTCGCCGACGATGCTCACAGTGCTGGAGATCAAACAAGCACTGATGATCAAACCTGGAAGCCTTTAATAGGAGAAGAAAGTGTCCGCTAGTCCGAACCTTAAGAGATTATGCGGACCAATTATCGAAATTGTTGATGGATATATTCGATTTGTACACTTCACAGTCAAGGAGTATGTAACGTGAGGTCTGGCTGGAATGTATCTGGCTAACGAGAGCAGATACTTGTTCAGTCCGTGCATAGACAGGCATATTAGTCTTACCCATGCAAACCTCGATCTTGCCATCTGCTGCACTACTTTCCTAACTCAAAGACATTACGATGTCGATATGCTGTCCGATGATGATGCTTCACCGGCCTCCTACTGGATGGGAGCTATAGACTGCATTATTTCGCAGTAACTGGCTGTGTGAGCTGGTCAAAAACTACTTGCAGTTGACACAGAACAAGCCACTGCCACTTGGGCTTGTACACTGCCTAAGGACGCTGATGGTCAAACGCAGCAATGGCGAGTTTGCAGCAGAACGGGATACTTTTTCAAAACTGCGTACTTGCAGCCTATCAAAACAGAGTATCCGGATCTATATCACTTTCTTGAAGGTATACCATTAATCCACCGCTTTGGCCAGAAGACTGGCTCCAGTAGGGGAGAAATGAAACAGTTTGGATCCACTGTTGTATCGGCGAAGATATACCGAGAACTGGGCTATTAGCGGTTTCGCCACTTCAATTGCTGCGCGGAAGTCGTCAATTGAAAACCGCAGCGTTCATGAGATTCCTCCTCTGCCGGCGCAGATCCGGAGAAGGTTTCTTGCTCGCGAAAACCTTTTGACGAGATAGGCGCCAAGGAGATTGTCCGGTGGCTCGGGATTACATGGAATGAACTGGTCGAGCTGACAAGAGATTGTAGGAGGAGCGCCTCTGTTGGGTCTCCGCTGCCCCTCCAGATCCTTCAATGGATATTCAGTGAGGGGCAGCGGCGTTTGCGACGCTATTCCGCTCGTCGTTAGTGAAGACTAATCATTAATTAAGGTGATTATTAGAATAAAGCGCATCTCCTGAAGCCATGCTTAAAAAAAGTACCAACGAGGCCAAATAATACAGCGTCATGGGATGATTGATGGGCAGTACACCGCAGTAGGTGTGATTAAAAGGCCACGGGGGCTGTTTGAAAACCGAGACTAAGACAAACCTAACGAGAGCCAGACCGGGGCATCCTTGCAGAAATCCTGCAGCCCGACCGCTTCAGCTCTGTAAGATTGAAGACCTTGCTGATCCGAATCGCTCGTATAAATTGTGGTGCCCCGTCCAGTATCTCTTCCACTCTCTCCATCCATTCATCCATCTTCTCATCCCTGGCAAACCTTAAAACACCATCTCCAACAATCATGTCTACAAACCCAGGCCAAGTCTCCCCACTCGCGGGAGTAACCCGCTACATCACCACCCACAACCCCTCCGGCCAAGCCATCGTCCACTCGGAGCAGCCTATCACCTGGGCCTCCTACCAGGACGGCGCGCTGGGTATGGGAGTCGCCTACACGACCTCCGAATTCCCCGCCAACCTAAACAACGACACCGACATTAAAGTCCACGAGCAACTGATGCAGAAGAATACCCTGGGGCTAGTGAACCCTGGCGGGACGGTGTGCCGGTTCGTCGATTTCGGACCCGGTGGAGAGCCATTCATGCATCGCACGCAGAGCCTGGACTACGGGATTGTCCTGCAGGGGGAAATTGAGATGATTCTCGATTCTGGGGAGAAGAAAACGTTGAAGACGGGGGATATTGCTGTGCAGCGGGGAACGAAGCATGCGTGGAGGAATCCGAGTGAGACGGAGTGGTCGCGGATGGTCTTTATTTTGCAGGATATTCAGCCAATAGTGGCCGGGGGGGTTGCGCTTGGGGAGGATGTGAGTGCGTCGGACGAGGTCAAGGCTAGTCGGGGTGATTGACCGGCGTGTCATGTCTTTTTCTAGATAGAATTGGAGATATAGTACATTATATACGATGAATGGCTACTGATCCTTCACCGTGATCACGACCTTTCCGAAATGCGCTCCGCTTGCCAGGAACTTGAATGCCTCCTTGGACTCCTCGAAGGGGAACACCCGGTTGACAACAGGGTGGATCTGGTGCTTCTCGTAGAACTGCACCATCTCCTCGAAGCGGTCCTTGGGACCGTTGATGATGCCCTTGATCGTGAGGTTCTTGCGCAGCGTGAGCACGTTCATGTTGAGAGTGTCGTTCGGATTGTGCTGCTTTCCAGATGTGTAGCCGATGCAGTCGATCAGTCCACCAAAGGCGACGCAGTCAAAGGTCTTGCTCAGGGTCTCCGAGCCGCCGGTCTCGAGGATGATGTCCGCTCCGTGGTTGTTCGTCACCCGCTTCACTTCCTCGTTCCAGTTGGGGTTCGTGCGGTAGTTGATGGTATAGTCAGCGCCGAGCTTCTTCGCTTGCTCCAGCTTCTCGTCAGACGAAGACGTGATAATCACTGGAAGTGTCAATCGCATGCCAAAAGCGCATAAGCATTACAAAACAAACCTTTCGCCCCGGATGCCTTCGCGATCTGCAGACCAGCAATCGACACCCCACCCGTCCCAAGCAGCAAGACATACTGGCCCTCTCCTCCATTCTGTCCCATTGGCCGCATGCCATTGATCGACATCCACGCCGTCACACTCGCAATGGGAAGCGTACTAGCCTCCTCGTGCGTCATATAACCGGGGGCCCGAACCAGAGCCTGCTCGGCGAACACACGATGTGTCGCCAACACTCCATCCATCGGCAAGCCCAGGCCGCGAGCCAATTCCTTCTCGGTCACTTGTCCGGTCTGGTGGTCCGGAAGGAAGGTCGACAGGACGCGATCGCCGACTTTCCATGCCGTTACACCCTCGCCTACCTGAGTGACCACACCGCTCATGTCGCTGCAGGGGACGACGACGGTTTCGATTCCCTCGGTTGATTTGTGGTGGCTGTACTCGCCCATCACGACTGAAGACCACAAACATTATTCAAAGCTCGGTACAGTTCAATCAAGCTACTCACCTTCGGTATCGCGATAATTCAACGAAACAGAATGGACCTCCACGAGGACTTCCCCTTGGCCGGGTGCAGGCATCGGGGCCTCGGCCTGTTGCAGGCTGTCAATTCCCTTCAGGTTACTCTTCCACTGCTTGATAGACGGTGCCATTTTGGCGACTGGAGCTCGCCCTTTGACGTTCAGGAAGTTCCGGAAGCTCAAAATTTATACAGTTGACGGTAAGAATTGCCGAGGGGTAATAATGCTGAAAAATGCGTCATTGTGGAGTCGCCCCGCAGTTGGAGCAACACGGCGTTTTTCTATACTCTGCGGTGTGACTTTGTCCCACGGCCGTTGACATGTCGATACTGGTGTCCTATGCGACTCAGAAAGATAGCTGGAGGATATACTGAGATTGGAGAATGGAGAAGATGCAGTCGTGATGCACGAGGCTGTGTGTGGTGGTTTTACCCCAATGAGGGGTCAATGATCGGCTTCGAGAGCTTTTCCCGACGGTGAAATATCGACATGCCGTCCGGAATTGTAGGAGTCTCGGTGGAATGGGAGATGCAGAGCACATAGATCGGACAGGGGTCAAAACTGACAAAGTGGCCTTCAAATGCGATTCTCTTTATTATTATTGACACCTGGGACTCTTGCCCGGCGGACAGGTAGTCCGATTAGCCCAGGTGAGCAACTTTTGCGCCGAAAGATCATGTACACAGGCATAGATGCGGAACGGCACTCGCGGAAGTGATCGCAAAGACCAACGAAGTGTCAAAGTCCAGTTGCTTCGTTAGTCTGAAGACTAAAGGCAAAAGCCTCGCTGATTTCCACGGTATTATATCCATAGCCTCTTTCTCTCCAGCAGCGAACGGACTCGAAGGTGGCAGACCCGGAAATAACATACCACAAAAGCCAGAGATTGAAGCATAAGGTGGCTGTTGCTGCACCGTCGGCGCAGTACAAGGCTGCGGAATAAATACTTCCTCAGCATATATATTTTCTGGTGGATTAGTTCTGGCTCCACACCAACACAAGCTACTTAGAAGATAATCAAGAAGTCAAAGCTTCGCTCGCTGTCCCACTTCTAACTTTTCTGCTTCTCCTACCTAAGAGACACGCGTCCCTGCTGACGTGAGAAACTTTCCTTCATCAAGCACAAGAATATCTATGGGCAATTGTCTTTAGGCGTCCCGGAAAACAGCGCATCCACCTATGGATATGCAAATCTCCACACCCCTCGGCCCTGACCCCTTATCTCCGGCCCACATGCACGTCATAGCAGAGGTTGTAAACAACTATAAACAACCATCAATCCCATCTCTTTCAATACAATGCTCTACACAGCCCGATTACCAACATCATGAATCCCCCCTCAAAACCTAAACCCCAGACAATCGCCCACCGCGGCAAAACCAAACACCCTACCGCCGCCAACCCCCGCTCCTCCCACTACCCCGAGAACACCCTCGAGAGCTTCCGCACAGCCGCCGCCGCCGGCTGCGACGCCATTGAGACGGACCTCCGCGTCTCCAGCGATGGGGTCATCGTGCTCTGCCATGATCGCTCCCTGGAGCGGGTATACGGCGTGAAGCGGTTCGTGGACGAATGTACCTGGGAGGAACTGCAGGCCCTCAAAACCGCGCAGGCGCCGCATGTGCGGATGCCGCGGTTAGTAGATTTCCTAGCGCTGCTTTGCGAGCCTGGATGGGAGCGGATGTGGGTGGTGTTGGATATCAAGGTATGTACCACTCTACTCTACCCTACTCTACTCTGATTTCAATTCCGTGGCATGACATGATACGATACTGACGGGAATAGTTGGGTAATCTTCCCGACCGGATCATCCCGCTTCTTGCGCAGGCCCTTGAATCCGTCCCGTCAGCTACGCCGTGGTCGAAACGCCTCGTGCTCGGGTGCTGGTCGGCTGCCTTCTTCCCGCTGTGTGAGCGCTACTTGCCTGGTTTTGAGACCGCGCTGATCTGCTTCGATCTGTGGTATGCGGCGCGGGTGCTGCGGGGCAGCCCGGCGTCGGTTAATGTTAATCAGAAGGTGTTGATGGGGATGGGGAGGGTGTTTCTGGAGGAAGCGCGCGCTGCGGGTCGGCGGGTGTTTGTGTGGACGGTGAACGAGCCGAGTTTGATGCGGTGGTCGATCGAGCGAGGCGTCGATGGGGTGATTACGGATGATCCGGGACGGTGTCGGGAGATGGTTCTGGATGTGGTGAAAGGTGCGAGTCCGGGGACTCAACACGATGAGAGAGTCACTGTTTCGCAGCGAGCTCAGGCGTGGGCTGTGTCGCTTCTGGTGGTTATGTTTGGGTGGCTCTTTCGCCGGAAATTTCTGTACGCGCTGGAGAAGCGGGACAAGAGCGAGTAAATAGATTTCACATTAATCATTAACGTCCTATTCACATGGCCGACCGAATTCAACTATGTTACACCAACTATGCACAAGCAAGAGCAGGGCTTCTGAAGCGACAGTGGGGATATATAGCGTATGCACAAGAAATGCAAAGAATTGAAGTGAAAAGCAAGGGTATATAACGGTCCAGACCGGGATCAAAATGAATGAAATAAATGCAAAATACGTAGACCACGAAAATGGGAAAGGTTCAATCAACGCTGCCACCAGTTCATCAGGACAGAATGAACATAAAAAAATGGTAGAGATCATGTCATCATTAACCGGGTCGTTCGCCTTTCCGGGAAGCGTCGGGCGCCCGCTGGGGGAGGCCCACGTGGTATATCCAACATCCCGGAAGGACGACGAGAACCAGGAGCAGGACCCGGGCCGAAGCCAGGACCAGGCCCAGGACCAGGACCAGGGCTAGGGCCAGGGCGGCGGGGGTACCCAGGAGGCATCGGGGGGTAGTTGGGGGGACGAGCCGCCAAAGGCGACGATGGCAAGGTCGGCCGGCGCATGCGATGGGGCGACACGGATGCAGCGGCCCGGCGAGCGTCGCGTTCGCAGTACACCTGGCCGTTCCATTCAAAGTACTCGCCCTTTACAGGAATCCCGCAGGTCCGACAGGTCAAACAATCGGGGTGGAACTTCTTGTGATCCGCCGGCCCTGGGCCGCTTCTCTCGTTCGTTTCGAGATACTGGCCTTCGATACCCGTGTTGCACGCACTGCAAAGCGATCCATTCAGTTCGTGATAGTGCTGTGCACAGTACGGGCGGTCATTCAGCACATAGAAATCGGCCGTCTCGAATGGCGATCGGCAATGACAGCAGACGAAGCATTCGCGATGGTATCTTCCAGTCAGCCGGCCATCCTTGGACGAGACAGATTTTCCCAAAATCGCCTCGCCGCATCCCCGACAACGCCCTTTGGGACGAGGTGGCGGTCGAACAGGAGGCTCTGTTGCCGATCGAGTGATAGTGGGCCGTACTGGGGGCTCATCTCGAGATTCGGGAGCTTCGTGAGGTTCGCGAGGCACGGGAGGTTCGCGAGGCTGTGGAGGAATGCTTGGTGCCTTGTCTATCACCAATGACAAACTACCTTGATTGATGGCCGGGTCCGTCGGGGAGTCGGGACTAAAAAGTGAAGCCGGAATTCGGGGGGGCTCGAGGTCAATGGGACTTTCCGTCTGCTCGGTTTCGGGCAGCACTGGTTGCTGATTGCCATTGGCCGGCTGCTCTCTGACGACCCCCAGTCGGCTCGTCTCCGACGGCTTTCGTCTCGACAGGCTTGCTTCTGAAGGAAGGCTGGAAATTGAGGTTCCACTTCGTGTTTCAGAGGGCGACGATTCAGAAGAAGAAGAAGTCGAATTTTCCGCCGCATGATCGGGAAAATCGAGACCTAGAGCACGGGCAAACTTGGAAACTGATGTATTGCTTGCACTGCTCGAATCTGTGCCTTTCCTGGACACATCTTTTGGCTCAGATTGCGGGACACTGGGTGGTTCAAGGTCTGAGCCCGATGGCCGGAAAGCTTTGTATGAGATGTTGGCAGAGGACGAAGACGATGACCGTGCTTCATTGGGCTCAAGCCAGTCAGCGGGTAAACCAAACGAACTCTGCGACGGGCTTCGGAAGAACAGCTCAGCGGAGCCTCGTGTGCTGCTAAGCCGGTCTGAATTCGTATGAGACGATACACGCAATGGATCAGGAAATGGTTTCTCGGCGGTTGCTACCCCGAAATCGAACCCGCTGAAGCTGCCGCCCTTTCCGTCATGCTTCCGACTTTGCGCCCCAGCTGATTGCTCGACTGAGGATGAATGCTCGATCAAAGGTTCTAGATGATTGGCGCGGCCGGATGATGCCTCTTCCCTAAATTGATGTGACTCTTGAGCAATGCTTCCGAATGAGGGTCGTCGACTGGACAGGGCAGTCGATCGTTTGGAGCTGTTCTCGCCATACCGGGTACTCCCGGCGGACGTTCCGTAACTACTCCTGCTATCGATCGAGTCCCCATGTCTATGGGAGATCGCTTGAGCGGGACGCACATCTTGTTGTCTCGTCAAAGGCGGGGGTGAGCGTCCCCTCTCGTATCCTGACATGCGCGCACTCTGTGGAGGCTTCGGAGCCTCACCATCCATCGCATGAGCGAATTGTAGGGAGGGGACTGGCGGTGCAGTTTGGGCTATCTGCAACTGGGAGAGTGAAGCATTTCGTTTCTTGGACATTGATCGTGGCAAGGGGAACGCCGGCAAATCCCCAACTGGTTTGATCACATCAGGGGAGTCAGGTTCATCCAAAAGGGGGGAGATTCGACTCCTTTGCTGCAAATATGGCGACCGTTGTCCTGTCGATACGGAAAGCGGAGACGGAGTCAGAGAATCCTTTTCACTCCTCGATAGATCTTCGTTGGGGTGCAAGTATGGCCGATCTAGTAGTTCCGATCACATTAGCCCATGCCTATAGATAAGAAAGGAGAGGAGGATGATTATCCATTACATACTCGCTAATGTTGGATCGATGCGCGGTGGAGGGCCCATTCGTCCCAGTCTGAATCCAGACGGGTTCCTCAGGTGAGCCGAGACTATCGCAGAGTCGGATTTTGGGGGAGGCGATGGAGGCGGCGGTGATGGAGATGCTTGGACAGAGTCAGTAAACGCAGAGACATGATTGATAATTTCACAGTCGAGCAACTACCTGGCACAGGTTTGCAGACGTGATCTCCCATCTCCGAGATCTCGACATTCATTCCGCAATTGGAGCATTTGATGGTGGGCAACAGCGCCCCGTCCATCAATCCCGCCATGTCGACCGACAAGAGGTCTACAGGATATACAGATCACTGATATTGTTCGTTCATTGAATTGATAAACAGGCACAAAGGTAAATGAATTCCTCTGATTAAGCAGTAGGCGTCATCTGTCCGTCTGCTCGGTCTACCAAAACTGGTCACGATCCACGTAGGGATCCCTGCTCGCTCTGCATCGAAGACTGATATTTCTTTGCTCTCGTTCTCCGACAGGTCGAATCCTGCGGTTAAAGTGGTCAAGCCAGTCCAGGAATAGCGCAACAATCAATGTTCGAGATGCATAGAAGGAGGTATGTCGAACTGCAAGGAGTKGAGGAAGAGGAAAATGGATGATAATAATAGTCCAGTTCTGTTTGGAATCGGGTGTCTGTCGAGTGGGACCGACCGCGAATGATGGCCCTCGTGTGACGATCCAGAACTTAGGGTGTTTTCTTTTTCGACGGCGCGGCCCCAATCAGGAGTAGCTCAGGATGACACGCGTTCTTGAATGGGTGTTAGTCTTACTCTGCTCTATTTTTCTCGCGGCAGAAGAAGGCTGTTGGCGGATCGAAAAAGCGAACTAATCGAACCTACGAGATGTTTGGCTGGCCTGAGGCGTCGAGGTCTGATTGGGTGATGACATTTTTCTGTTTTGGGGACTGAGCCCCTTTTCCTACGAACACCACACAATATATTGGCTTCTTTTTGTTGGATCCTTCTGACCATTCATGCTTTTTCGGATAATTCTGGATTTCGCGTTAATCTGGGTATCTGATAATTGAGAGCACTACCAGACCCTGGGGGAGCATATTCATGGTTGTGCCCCTCGCCCCTCAGAAAGGTCCATAGTCCAAATGGTCCAGGATGACAACCCCTGAACCAAGAACCACCGAAACTGGAGAGCCGCCGATCGTTTGTCAGGGGCAACTGGTCACTCTACTATCAATCCATTGGCTGTCAATAGATCAGCCCTGTTCCTCCTTGGATCAAAACTCTGAGGTCGTATCCATAATCCAACCCTGATGGTGCACGAGCCTCTCATTTAGCCAGTGTTTTCTTGCCGCCAATGTTGGTATGATTATTGCCGGAGAACAGTGCTCTCTCTTATTGCTGAATTCTTCGTCTGGGGAATCGAGATTACCTGCAGGTGTCTCTTGGGTGTTCAGAGGGCTTTCGTTTGCGTTCAGATGACGGCTAACTTTTGCGGCAAAGATGTGGACCTGAATATTGCCTTGGGAGGTAAGGGGGCAAACTTAACCGACCATGGTAGCTGCACTGAGCCGTCGCGACTCACGAGATGAAATAAGGAGTCGATCCGCGGACATCAATGGAGACGTCCAAGTCGGTTGATTATGGCTACAGATTCAAGCGTATCATCACACTACTCAGGCTTCTGGAAGGCCAGATTGCGCATTTTCTGGGAGATCCAGTGATCTAGGGCATTGTTTTCTACGTTGCCGGATACTCCAGACGATTGAATTCAAAACACAGGGCGTACCGTGGTTGCAGGAAGATCACTCTGACCTCGTGAGCTCAACTATGGAGCAAACCATTCATGAGTCTTAACTTTGGACAATCTTCCTTCTATTGAAGGAAAGATATTCTGGCCGTTCTTTATGTCAACAGATAGCAAGAATGCAGATTGTGATGGCTCCTTCAGTCAATAGTGAGCTCACAACGTCTACTGCCCTGGTATCTGATAGACTTGAACGAATCCCAGCTCCCACTCATCAACTCAAAGCTCAGGAGTTGGGAGGCTCACCTTTCTCTCTGGCAACTCGGCGCATTGAAACATAGCACATACAATTCTCTTTAATTCCATACGCGCCATTGGCCGGACCATGTGGCTATGTGATTATCTAGTAGCTTTCGGCTTGGTAGCAGAACACCTGCAGGCACCAGAATGTCTGCCTGTGGCTCACGTCGTATTTCTTACAGAACGTTTATGACTATGGATCTAGCGATGTAATCGCCTGGCATATTGATTGCACTACTGGATGTCAGGCCCGCATAAATAATTATGACCTGAGGATGAGACCATCGTGCTGGATGTAACCATGGAACGTCCAGCCGAGCTTGCCGCCTACTGCACACCGCAACATTCCAGGGGCAGCAGTCCTCCATGAGGCCGTAACCGGTCAACTGACGTATGGACACGAATTTAGATCCAAGATAGATATTTCTTGCC